TCCTTCCGCGTCACCTCACCTCTCGCCTTGTCCGCGTACCTCACCTCGCAGTGTTACATTTATTTATTACTTTATTATTTACCTTATTATTATTGTATGTACATTTATAAACAAATTATGTTTTGCAGTAATTATAAATAGACATAGTGGTAAAGTAACTGAATAAATTTACATGAGTACTGTACTCAAGTAACATTTTTGGGTATTTACTTTTTAAAACATACTCAAGTTTTTTAGCACTTATACTTAAGTATAGTTTTCTAATACCTTTACTCCAATACAATTGAAAAACAAAAATTGTTACTCATTACATGACCGAAACAAAGAGTTTTAATGTCTGTGGCAAACTAATAATATATTTTTAAAATAATTCACTAATTATTAACCATTGTAAAAGGGTTGTGTGGATGGAAGGTATGGTGTGGGTGGAGCCATGAAGGGTACGGTGTGGGTGTGGGAAGACACCGAGAGGTCTCATGAGGTGAGGTGAGGTGACATCAGGTCAGGTCAGGTGGCAGTAGCCATGATCGCGAACTTTCCCTTTGATCTTCTTGTGACCATTAGCACCTTGACCACCCACCTCACCTAGCCTACCCTCTTATCTCTCCCCCCCCCCATCAAATCCCCCTCTTCTCCCCACCTTTCCTTCAGGATCTTGGTCTTCCTGTTACACATCAGTTCTTCTTTGCATATAACTGTACCTAAAATGAATTTCAAAAAGGCTGTGATTCTAAAATGCTTTACATAATTCCATCTTAGATATAAAGCCTGTGTCTATACACATGTGTAAACTGAGTGTATTTAAAATTCTGCTTTAATAACTGAGTACAGTACCATTGACCCCCCAGCACCCATCAGATGTTACGTGGTGAAAAAAATTCAGCCACTCATCAATTAGAATCTAAAAGTGATGTCACCACAGCCACACCCCCATTACAGGGACAGTTCACGGTGAGTCTTAGTCAGACTCTGTCACTATGGAGGCAACAATCATCCACAAACTCCTTTACTGAATGGCATGGCCAGGGGATGGAATGAAGCTACTGAGGTCTTTCCTAACATTATGTGAGTTATCTCTCAAGCTTAACACCCTGCTACCTGCATCTGCTGCTTGTGAGCTTCTGTTTAGTCATGCTGGCTACTTATTTATTATTTTATTAATTTAATACACCCCAGGGGACAATAAGCCTAGTCACAGGAACATGTGGTCAGACACTAATACATTGGTACTCATGTCTCACAAGAAACCTTATGACTTGTGATATGGAGACAATATTGATATGATTGAAGGACAATGGGAGTTAGCACCCACCAAAGTGTGGGTACCATACAAGAATTAAATTAAATTATTACAAATAAGTAGGTGGTGACATATAGTGGTCAGTGACTCTTCCTGTGGTAGGAGGTCCCTGACAGTGAGACAGTCAAGGCAATACAGTAGTGTTGAAGGGTGTTAGTGTTGGGACAGTTACAGAGTTAACAGGAAGAGAAGTGTGGGTCATCCCCGCCTGAGATACTTGACAGATAGGTCTGCATCCTAACCTAATGTGAGCAGAGACAACATTATGTCTGTAGACCATAAGTCCACGATGATGATACTTATGTGGATGAGGAAGAAACTGACCATAGTGTTGGATGGATATACTCTCAGCCCGTTCACTATCCTTGCGATGGATTGTAGGGAGAAGAGCGGCTGAATATATTCTCTTTCGGTAAGTCATGCTGGGCTTATATTTAGGCCTAAAAGATCCTGATTGGACAGTCATAATCTGGAGAATTAGTAGTTATTAATTATGCTCAATAGAAAGATTTGCTAATAAACATGTGTAATGCTGAGTCTTTTATTTTTATCTTTAATTAGCTATTTTTTGTTTTAATATAATTTACTGTGGACTTATTTTATTATTTAAGACAATAATTTTGTTGTTACTTTTTACTTTCAGTACTTGAGTACTTTATGAATTAGATACGTTTTTACTTCTACTTGAGTACATTGAACTTTGGATACTTTTACTTATACAGTATAGCCTCGTTTTACGCGGATTTGGTTTACGCGTTTGGTTATTTACGTGGCACCTTGCCAGACCGACAATTTTTATTTACACGGTTCATTCCATCATTTACGCGGGAAGCGGCGCGGGCAGGGTGCGCACAAGGTCGCCCAGTCATCAAAACATTACCGAGTTCTTCACCCGCCACCCACCACAGCCAGCCCAAGTCAGTGATACTGATAGTGAGGATATAGACCTTGAGGGGTTTGACAAAGAGGCCCTGCAAGCCTCTGTGGTGAATTGTGATACAGGTGATACAGGAGAGGACCAATAATCTGCCCTCTGCCTCGGAACCAACCCCCCATCCCCGTGTGCCCAGCCATCTTTTCTACTAACGTAAGTGTTAAAAAACCTAATATTATTGATATTTCTCTTAAATATTAATTGTGTGTGCATACCATCATAAAATTAAGATGTTATTTTTACTACAACGTACGTATTGTGTCGGAAAAAGTGTAGTTTGGGGGTCGGCCGAGTCTCTATTTCAATTAATCCCATATGTTCTGTTATTTCGTTGACGCATTTCTCGTTTTACGCGGACCTCCACGGGTTCAATTGACCGCGTAAATGAAGACTATACTGTACTTGAGTAACATTTTGCCAATGTAACAAAGTCTGGTACTTTTTACAACTCTGTAAATAGAATACAGGTATTTTATGTGGCAGCCAAGGCAAGGTGCAAAAACTGAACAGAAAATGGATGAAAATTCAAACACTAAAGTTCAGAAATTGCTGAATAATGTCAAAATATTCTGAACTCAGTTAATTCGGATTTTTCGGTAATTTGAGTGGCCCAGAGCCCCTTTTTTTTTAATTATGTAATGAGGGTACAGTGGTCCCTCGGTTAACGAGCACAATCCGTTCCAGCAGGTTGCTCGTTAACCGAAACCATTGTTTCAATGGGTTTTTGGGTAATTGGTTCCAGCTCACTGAAAATTGCCTAAATTCAACAAAAAAGGTAGAAAAGTACACTTACTTTGAGGTGTGTATGTAGAAGGCTCCTGATGATGATGATGATGATGATGATGGGAATTAGAATGGGGGTGGAGGAGAAGGGAGAAGAGAAGGCATTGGGGTGGAAGAGAAGTCACCCCATGGCACCATTTCACCCATAAAATTTTAGTTCTCTTGGTGTAATTCAAGATTATTTTCTTTAAATCAACATTGCACTGCATTATATATTGTCAATATGTAAAAGAAATTTCAAAATGACCAATAATTTGCTTGGAAACACAGAAAAAAGCGTTTAGTTGAAGAGAGTCTCAAGCAAGATGTTACCTCCACTGTAAACAGAGAGAGACTAGCGCCTGTCTGGTGTGTTAACAGGCTGGATGGCACTCCAGAAACTAGTTTCTTTACCTTCAATTATGTTCAATAATTGTTAAAATGACTAAAAAAAGTTTATATTAAACTTTTAAAATTATTGAATAGTATAAACTTCTTGATATTTACTAAAATAGTAAGGAATTTAAGCCCTAAAACCGATTACTGTATTGGCGGACTAATACTACAGCTGGTGGACCGCCAAATGCAAGCGAAAACATGTTGAAGTCGGCTTGTAAAAAACTCGTTAATCGAGGGATTGCTCGTTAACCGAAGTTAAGAATCTTATGGAAGGTAAATCGTTAACTGAAATCTCGTTAACCGAGGCGCTCGTTAACCGAGGGATCACTGTATAATGTACTGTATTATGGTTAGAAAGTGTTTTATTTATTGCTGTACAGTACAGTACAGTACAGTATTTATATAATGAGTATGTTTTTCTGTGCTTTTTATTACAGATCAACCAACAAAAATAACCTAACTTGACCAGCTGGGAACTGAACCCCCTTCCCCCTTATTGCATTGATTTATATGAGAAGAATTGCTGCATTATTTATAAAATAGTTATAAGTACAGTATTGACTTTTAGTAACAGAACCTACAAAAAAATGAGGACTCTGTTTATTATCATAATATTTAGCAGTTAATGCATTAAGAGAAATAATAGATCATTACAGAGCATAACTTGACATTATACCATCCATAATGTATTGAATTAACTGATAACAAAGGAAAATTGAGGAGAAAGCGATATTGCATCAGTCTGGGTGAGTCTTTGTTTATGGGTAAGGTTGTCACCATATGGCAAAAGCTATGGACTCTTGTTGTCTGCCAGGCAGAAGAGGGAGTGTTAAAGAGCACTCCATTGAAGTGGAGCATTTTTTGAAAGATGTGGAGAAAAGTCGAACACTTTGTTAATTAATATTCTTGCTTCAATTGACTGCAGTCTAACAACATGTCCCAAGGGTTTATGCAGTTCGGAGGGATGCTTAAACAGCCTTGGTCCTTTGTTGAAAATAAATGTTTTCTTTAAGCAAGATATGTCAAAGCCTGTTTCTCTGCAAAGGTTTTTACTGGCTAGGCTTACTCTAGGGTAAAACTGATAAATGAGTGTGGAATTTCAGTTTATGGATGATTATTTTGAAGCAGTTAAAGACCGGCTTTGGGATTCTTCTCAGAGTAGTAGAATAATTTTGGCTTCTAAGAGCACAGTAGAATTTAAATTAGAGTTTACTTCTTAAACCCGGCTCAGCAAGGTGGAGTATCTGTTGATGTAGCAACTCATGTTGGTGCAATATGATCATGTTCTTCTCAGAATGTAAATAGACCCCACTGGACTAGCCAGGTTCTGCCAAGGAGTGTTTTGGTAGGATGATCTTGCAGGTCACTTGTTTCTTTTCCTATGGCCATAAATTAGGATTTCATGCTTGAGTTCTTTGATTTCTACACATATCTTTAATGCTTGTTTTATGAAATTGTTTGCTCAGCTCCTGGAGCTAAGAAAGTCACAATACAGTTTTTGATGTATCTGAATGTTGGGTTCATGTTATGAATAGGTATCTTGGACCAAAAATTCTCATTATCTCTTGTCATGGGTCACCAATAATTGTAGAAATGCTTTTGCAGAATTCTACAGTTGCTCAGTCGCCTGAACCTGCAGAAGAAGTAGTAGGAGATGAAGACTTGATGTCTGAAGATCAGCTATCTTCTAGACAAGAAAGCCATTTCCAGAAATATGAATCAAGAAATGCTGCTGAACTTGAGACTGTTCAGATGTATGAAAGTCTTGAAACTTCAAAGCAACAAAACCTCAAACCTTCTGATACAGTTATGAGGAACCATAAGCAGTTAGTTTTACTTTGTTGCATTTAGATATACTGTATAGTATTTATTTTGTATTTCCCACTAGAGTTTTTAATTTGCATATTCTGTGCACATTCTGTTTCTTTCACTCTCACTGTCTCTGTCTGTCTCTCCTTCATTCTGTGTACAGTACAGTATCTCATTCTGTCCTCTTTAGTTCTTTCTATCTCATTCTCTCTATCTTCTCTCTTTCTCACTCTCTTTTACTGGTTGGACTGAAATAAAGAAAAAAGTTCATGGATATTTTTAATTTATTCTTCCACCAGAACAAGAATATCCAAGGCTTTTCCCAATTAATGCTGGGTGTCAGAACCAAAGGAAAATGCACATTTTCCAGTCATCCATTGTCATTCAGTCATTCATGTTGTTTCAAAAGATATTTATATTTGTTCTTATATATTTTTGAAGATATTGTTAAACTTCATAATTCTGTTTTTCAGATTTCATGACAAAGACACACAAGGTCTTGCTCCAGACTCCAGAATTTTACATAATGATGATGATGAGGAAGCAGCTATGTTAAGACACACATCCTTAGAAGCTGTTGCAATGCAGCTTATGGAGTGTCAACACATTTTGGATGTTGCAAGGCCACATATGGTAAGTTTTAACCATTTTGCTGCAATTCCCACACTTACCCATTTTATTCTGGCTACCGCCAGGCCATTTTATTCAGCTTAGGGTAAGTTCCTGCAGCCAAAAGTTTAATAGGGTAACTTCCTGCAGCCAAAAGGTTAATAGGGTAACTTCCTGCAGCCAAAAGGATAATAGGGTAACTTCCTGCAACCGAAAGGTTAATAGGGTAACTTCCCACAACCAAAAGGTTAATAGGGTAACTTCCCACAACCAAAAGGTTAATAGGGTAACTTCCCACAACCAAAAGGTAAATAGGGTAACTTCCTGCAGCCAAAAGGATAATAGGGTAACTTCCTGCAACCGAAAGGTTAATAGGGTAACTTCCCACAACCAAAAGGTTAATAGGGTAACTTCCTGCAGCCAAAAGGTTAATTGGGTAACTTCCTGCAGCCAAAAGGTTAATAGGGTAACTTCTTGCAGCCAAAAGGATAATAGGGTAACTTCCTGCAGCCAAAAGGTTAATTGGGTAACTTCCTGCAGCCAAAAGGTTAATAGGGTAACTTCTTGCAGCCAAAAGGATAATAGGGTAACTTCCTGCAGCCAAAAGGTTAATAGGGTAACTTCCCACAACCAAAAGGTTAATAGGGTAACTTCCTGCAGCCAAAAGGTTAATAGGGTAACTTCCTGCAGCCAAAAGGATAATAGGGTAACTTCCCACAACCAAAAGGTTAATAGGGTAACTTCCTGCAGCCAAAAGGTTAATAGGGTAACTTCCTGCAACCAAAAGGTTAATAGGGTAACTTCCCGCAACCAAAAGGTTAAGTAAGTTAAAAAAATTTGGATTGCAAAATGGCTTCATTGGAAGATTTCCATTAAGAAGTGGCACTTATATAATCTTGAGCAAACAGTCATACAAACTTAGCCACATACAGTTGTAAGCATAGTATATAGATTCTGTCTGTTGCTTCCAAATAATTAGGTTACCATTTATTTTGAGCAAAGCAGCTGGTCCTGTTTTATTTACAATATCAAAATTTATTTCCAAAAGTCATATACAGGTAAGTGGAGGGTTCCAGGGTTCCTGGAAACTGGTTTTAGAACTGCAAACTTATTAATGGAGGTACAGGGGGTATGTGAATCACACAGTCCATGTTCAATAAAAATTGCTACTTCAGGATTAGTCGCTTAATTTTTCTGAATTACCCATCAGAGTAATGTCATCTGTACAGAGCAACAGACTTATATCCTTATATCCCTATTTGTTTGTATGGCTATTTGCTCTTGTTTTTAGTCACTCCACATGCACTGAGAAGGAACTTAAAAGATTATAGAAAAAGAGCCTTCCTAATTACCGGTAGACCTACAAGTTTCCCTCGAGATACGAACGTTTGAGATATGAAAATTCGCTTATACGAATTTCCCAAATTGACACCACTATTTCGAAATGCAAAAGCTTGCCCGACTTATACATGGCTGAGGTAGGAGTTATTTTAGGGTTACTGTATTTCTCAATTCGTAATTTTGGGTATATAAACATAACTTTCTTCACAATTTTTTTTAGTTCAGTTACATGCATACACAGTCCTACATACAGAATGTGCAAAAGAATACAAATATCATAAGGTCAAAAACATAAAGGAAATAAAAATTTCTTTCGACCACCGGAATAGTGGGAGTGGGAGGGGGTGCAGTGCCGCAAGTGTTGGTATCTCAGCCTCCCTCCAAGCTGTGAGTTGCCCTTTTGTTATTTTTCAACTTATATTTTCGTGTAGATATACATAATTTTCTTCTTTTTTTTTACTCTGTTACATGCACACACAATCTTCATACGGAATGTGCAAAAGAAAAAAAAGTCTTTATAAGGTCAAAAACATAAAGGGATTAAACATTTATTATCTGTGTGACAGCTAGCTAAGAGAGTGAAGGAGGGAGGGCGTGGTGTGTGCCTCATGGCTCCGTTTGTCTCGTGTGTAGTAACAAGGACTCCCAAATGGCAGTGCAGTATTTTTTCTTTTCTTTTATTTATTTATTTATTATTTTTATTTATTCCTATCCCAAAGAGCACTCTAAGGGGTTATCATACCATTGCTTAAATGATATGAATACTGTATGCATTTCTGATGATGTTATTTTTTACTATCAAGCAGTGGTCCTCCCCACCCTGCTATATGGCAGCGAGACATGGGTCACATACAGGAGGCACCTCGAGGCACTTGAAAACTTTCACCAACGTACTCTATGTTCCATCCTCCGAGTTCGCTGGGAAGACAAGAGAACACAATGCCAGTATTCTCGCTGACACCAACTGTAGGAGCATCGAGGCTACCATTATCCATGATCAACTATGTTGGACTGGCCGTGTTACCCTCATGGACGACAGTAGACTGCCTCAGGCAGCTACTTTACAGTCACCTAAAGAATAGTAAACGTAACGCTGGCAGGCAACTGAAAAGGTATAAGGATAGTCTTAAGACAAACCTGAAAAAGTGCCAAATCGACCCCCTCACCTGGGAGACGATCACTCCACTCCATAATACTTGGAGGAGCACCACACGAGAGGTGTCAATACTTTTGAATTAGGCCGACTGCATACAGAGGCAGACAAGTGCCAACGCTGGAAAGACGCTGCCACCGCCCTTCCCACACTAGGTGTAGCCCTCCACATGTGCTACATCTGTAGACGACCTTGCCGGTCCTGTATCGGCCTCTCGAGTCACCTCAGAGCTAACCAATGAAGGTGATATCTTCAATAACTCATATCATTGTATCGTAGCTGGATGATCGTCATATACAGTACTCGATTCTGAGTGACAGTAAAGTAGCAATAGTACTATGTGGGTGGTGTTGGGGTATGTTGGTGGTGTTGTAAGGTGTGTGGGTGGTGTTGGGGTATGTTGGTGGTGTTGTAAGGTGTGTGGGTGGTGTTGGGTTATGTTGGTGCTGTGGATAGTGTTGGGGGACTGTGGGTGGTGTATGGGGTAAACAGAGAGTGCTTGTCGCTGATTGGCAGAGTGAGTAAAAATAAAGAGAGCTGCTCTTGACATGTTGTGAGTGTTCGAACTCATGACTTTTGACTACAGATTTTATTTATTTATTTTATTTTCTAGAGCTCCAAGATGCAAGCAAGAGCATTACAATGAAACAGCAATCTATGGGGTAGAGCTAACTGGGCTTTTACTGTACATTGTACAATCATTTATACAGAATGTGGCCCCAAAAAAAAAAATATATATATATATATAATTATCATAAGGTTAAAAACATAAAAGGAATAGAAAAAAATTACGTCCCTAAGAATTGTGGGTGGGATAATGCCATGGGAGACGGGTGCAGAGTTAGTATCTCAGATTCCCTCTAAGCTGTGAGGTGTGTTATTATTTTTAAACTAGTAAATTCAGGTAGATATACGTTATTTTATTAAACATTTTATTTACACTGCTACATGCACGCAATAGTTCATACAGACTGTGTAAAAAAAAAAAAAAAATTATTATACCGTCAAAAATGTAAAGGGATTAAATATTTATTATGTGTGGAGGCTAGCACAAGAGAGTGAGGGAGGGACGGAGCAGCATTCCATCATGGCTCAGCTGTCTAGTGTGTAGTGACACGACTGCCAAATGACAATGTAGTATTTATTCCTCACATTTACTGATACAGTATACAGTATATTATTTTATGTACAAAGATTAGCTTCTTCCACATACAAACCATCCTCTGGGCAACATGACACAGTTGAACTGCTTAGCCTGGCAGCCACTTGGGACGGGCAGAGCCTATATGCATTCCGTGTTGGTTGCACGTGTTATGCCATTCTGAGATTGTTTCATCATATCTCAGAATATTGCAAGTTATTGCACATCACTTTTTCATAGCAGTGACAATGCAGGAAAAGCATTCGGATACGACCATCGTAAAACTGATCAGAGACATCACATAGAGGTAAATGGTGCTAATTTTTTAACATCGTAAAACTGATCGAGTGTATATAGATCAATTGTATAATGGTGATTGCCTGTACAGGTATTGATTTTGATCCTATCTGTCTGTGCAGATTTGCACCAAACTTGGTAGGTTTGATTCTCTTGTGATAATGTTCACATGATACACTTTGGTGCAAATTGACCCAAAAACGATTAGGTTTTACCATGGTATTGGTTTGTTCAGTCATAATGGGTTAAAGAATACAGTGACATGAGACAGTCTCCAGCAGTGACTACATTAATTACTGTAACAGTGTCAATAGTTCATTATTAATCCTGCCATGGTAATGGTTCTTGGGCAGGGTTTGCATCCACTTGGATGGTGATTAAAATTTGTTATTTCCAAATATCTTGTACTTACACACCTTAACTGCAGTCTTAAGAATTAAACATTGAAACTGCTCTCATTCTTCAACTATCCCCAATTGCAGTTACTGTATTTACATTCCTGTACAGTACAGTACAGTATATCCATGTTCTCTTTCATTTCCTTAAATTTTTCATGCGCATTGACTTTCCTCTCTACTGAATATCTCATTCTATTTTTTCTTTGTCCTGATGTTTCCATTCACTAATTTATTCTTGCATGTACCAAATAATGGTGTGACACTGTATGCACCTCCTCTTTACCATAATTACACTCATCTACCCACCAACACAAAGTGTAACAACTTTTTCTATTCACTCATGCATCAATGTACAGTATGCTTATAATTTATGTACCTTCTTTTGAAAAAACCTATATTCCCAATCATTAAACCTCTCTTATTGCACATTTATGTTAATCTTTCCCCCTTTTTAATCAATCATTAAGCTCCAAATTTATCCAAAGTATCATCCAATTCTGTCACCCATTATCTATTATTTCACTGGTCAACATAAAAAAAAATTCTCATGGTTCTGGATCAAAACAGTCTGATTCTAGTGTAATTGTATGTGCTGAACTCAATTATGACATTCGTATAGCTGTATCAGGCTCAGTTTTCCAGAACCAGCATATCTATATATTTAGTGTACCATGTTATTCATACAGTAATTTATATGCTCATTGGCTCCACTTATGCAATTATTTTGTCCTGATTTGTGCTTTTTTGTTTGTTTCAGTTTGCTGATTCATGATATTGCATATCTACACCTGCATGATTTGTAATTACTCTGAAATTAACAAAACATGGAACGTCGCAAGTGTGTGAACGGTGCTGACAGTTTTTGCTACATATGTGGTGCCTTCACTCCTGGTAGCCTCAAGAAACCAATCACAAAAGCTGTTCGACTGAACTACAAAAGTTACTTCAAATGTCATTTGGGTGACCAAGACAAGAAATGGGCACCTCATGTAGCCTGTAAGTCTTGTGTTAACCACCTGAGCGAGTGGATGTGTGGTAAACGAAGTTCAGGAATGCCGTTTGCTGTACCAATGATATGGCGTGAACCTAAAGACCACAGTAGTGACTGCTACTTCTGTCTCACAAATATTAAGGGAATAAAAATCAAGACACGAGGCAAGGTACAGTACCCCAATATTGCTTCCAGTCCCAAATCCACCGACTGAACAAGAATTGAAGATTCTACCTCTACCTCAATTACCAGGATGACTCTGAAAATACCAGGCCTAAACTATTTACTCAAGAAGCGCTTCATGATCTCATCAGGGACCTAAACTTGTAGCTGAAGATCCAGACTAAAGCAGCGACCTGCTAGAAGGTGGAGTGCATATCACTACAGCGCGTTACCGACATAGACAGCTGTCTGCATTTTTCAAGATGACAAACAACCTTTGTTATTGCGAGGACGCAGTATCTCTCATGCAACAACTCTGCAAGTCTGAAACATACAAGACAGAGGATTGGAGGCTGTCTATAGACTCAGGAAAAGACTCTGAAAGCTGTTCTTTTACACAATGGCAATCGGCTTCCATCTGTCCCAATAGCACACGCAACAAAAATGACTGAGAGCTATGAAACAATGAAAATTCTGTTGGCCGCTATAGAGTATGAGAAACACCAGTGGAAGATATGTGGCGATCTCAAAGTCATCAGTTTACTACTGGGCCTTCAGAGTGGCTACACAAAGCACATGTGCTTTTTGTGCTTGTGGAACAGCAGAGCTGATGCAGAGCACTATGTGAGAAAGGATTGGCCGAAAAGACCAAGAGATGCGCCTGGAAGGTTTAACTGTGCTCACAATCCGCTTGTAGATCCAGAAAAGATATTTTTGCCTCCACTGCATCTAAAGCTCGGTTTGGCTAAAAATTTCATCAAAGCTATGGATCAATTCGGTGCTGGGACTCTATACTTATCTCAGAAACTAGGTGGTGTGGTTTCCGAAGCCAAGTTGAAAGCAGGTGTCTTGAATGGACCACAAATTCGTATACTAGTTAATGATAGCGAATTCACCAAAACATTAAACCCACTGGAGAAAAAAGCATGGGAATCATTTGTCAATGTGTCAAAGAATTTTCTTGGAAACTATCGTGCTGACAACTACAAAGAAATCGTAACAACCATGCTTCAGAATTATCATGCATTGGGAGCAAGGATGTCCTTGAAATTGCATTTTTTCCACTCTCATATTGAATTTTTCCCAGGTAACCTTGGAGACGTTAGTGATGAACACGGCGAAAGATTTCATCAAGATATCGCCATAATGGAGAGCAGATATCAGGGACAATTCAGTCCTAACATGATGGGCGACTATTGCTGGACACTGCAACGAGAAGAGAGCAAGCTGTACAAGAGAAAGAGTAAAGTTCAGAAGCACTTTTAGAACTTCATATTTTGTCATTATAAAGGATTTGAACTTATGTTTTTTGGTACAATTTTTTATGAGCTTATCTGTGATAGGTTTAAAATTGTATCTTGCATGACGCGATAATGTTACTATATTTACTATTTTTTTTATTCTTTAAGAAAGTAGGTCTGATGGTAGAATGAAACATCCAATTAATATTCATTAATATGAAATTAGTCATGAAAGCACAGTCACATGAGATAATCTCATCTTTTGCACGACACGTGATGGAATATTAAATATTTGTACCTATTGATTTTTTTATAAAACCTGGTCTGATAGAACAAAACAAATATCAGATTCGAATTCAGCAATATGAAATTAGTTGTGTGAGCATGATCTCATATGTGAACCATTTTGGCTGTTGACCAGTGAATTATTGATCAGTACAGCTGCTCAAGCTTTCCCAAAACCTTTCTTTCCTCATCCCCTTGTGAATATGCACTTGAAATAACTCATTACCCATCCCCTATTTTTTAACCAGATTCATAGTGTTATTGGACTGACTCACCCGCCTTATGATATTAGATTATGTTCCTCTCGACAGAATTACCACACCTCTTTTACATTTAACCATTTCAGACTCATAACTTTATGTCCACCTCATTTGTCCTAAGCAGATGTCCCCTTATGTCCTTCAATTTTGTTTCTCTTTGAGCCAAGATATCCAGGATTCTCCCATTCATCTTTAAGTTAGTCATTTTCCTTATTACAATAGTCTTTCAGGCACTTATAGTCTTCTTTGTTCTTGTTTCCTTTTGGTAATAAAAATACAGAAGGTGGAGTTACCAGCTGCATACTCTTAAATAGTGAGAATTTGATATCCCTATGCCCATTAGTTTTATTAAGAATGTTTATCAATTACGATATTAATATAAGAGTCAAAAATAAATATTATTAACCTTCACAGGATTTTTCACTGTAATAAAAAAGAAGAAGAATAGATGTAGGTTTATTTATTAAGAAACCCCAATATATACACTTTATGCACTTTGATTTTTCACATTAGGATGTACTTTATTACTTTGTAGATTCCAGGAATCAATAAATCTCTTTAGAAGATCATAACACTTAAAACACATATTTACTTTTGCAGGATAAGAAGGAGATTGAAGAAGACCTAAGTTGCCTTGCTGGTCATATTTTGTCAAAACCACAGTCACCACTGTACAAGGCTATGAATGACTTGTCAATGTTTGAAAAGCCTCAGACAGACACCAAACCAACTGTATGTGTTCTGTCTTTGATGAAGAGAAACTTTCATGACATGAGATCTGTACAACAACTTTGTGGAGTTGGTTATATTGGTTGCCTTTCCAAACTTCGTTCTATTCATGAGGTGTTCTGTAAACCTTTTATAACTCTGAAGTTTGAGGATATGGATCATGAAGTATATGAAAATCCATGTGGCTCCCTATTTATTGGAAATATTCCAGCCATTAATGTAATTAAAGAAGAAAATTGTAAACCATCTCCTGAGTCAAGTTCATATTCTGCTTTATGTTTGGATACAGATTTTGTAAAGTTTCTCAGGAATAGCTTATCAAGGTCATCAAGTCCAGACTCTGAATATACAGATGCACTGGAAATTCCCAAAGGTAACCCAAGTGTGTCAGCAGCTGCAGATTGTTTGAAAGTTTTTCCAATGGTGATAGATGATGATAGTGCCTCATTTTCAAGCATAGGTAATGGAGATGACCAAGCTACAGTGCCACATATTCCAGAAGGTGTTGATGCAGAATCAATGACTATTATGTGGGACAACAAAATTATTTTGGATTTAGATGACTCAAGTCAAATGATGACTTCTCAGGAGTTAGCTGAAGAAAACCAGGGTAAGTTGTTCATTTTTCTTTCTGATGAATATATTTTCCTGCATTTAAAAAAAATTGCTTTAACACTGAAGTCTTTCTGTTCATTGATTTCACCAAAGTTTACTATCTCTACCTGTCAGGTAGTCTTTTATTTATACGTATTGATATTTTAAATTGCCCTATATATTCAAGCATACAGTAGTACTTGATATATACTGGAATAATTTGGGCAGATCTCAGTCTGGAAAAAGTGAATTAGAGGTGGGGGGACATAAACCTTTTTATTTGGACTGTTTCAAGATAATCAGACACAAGTCTGATTGTTGACAACATTTTTCACTGTTATGACTGTTTTGTACTGTAAAGTGTTACAGTATTTGTAATTATTGGTAACCACAGAATTTTAGAAAAGTTATTTCAATGTGCTCATGTGCCTTATGAATGATGAAAAAACTTGGTATATGAGTGTGTATCTGGGAGCAGCAGATGGGAGGCAGTGCGGGTGGGTGACTTTCTTCTCCTCTCTCAGGACCACTTTAACAATGTCTTTACCGGGTATGCAATTTCACCATAATTCCCTTATTATATTCTCTCCGTTAACAGGAATTTTTTTTTAGCATTGCGAGAAATTACAGGAAAATCTCTCCATTTTGAGCATGGGAACGAATTTCCAAGAGATTGCATCATGTTAAAAACATAGGGACCCTTACCGGGCACGTGGGTGGGTAGGCTCAGAGTGCTCATGAGCTACGATTGGCCACTACACTGTCATGTGACTGCATGGGATGCCTATGATTAGCTGATGTATCTCACAGCCTATCTCTTCAAACACTTGCATGAGGACACTGTTAGTTCATTGTCTGCTGCCACAGCACAAACTTGTTCGTTTGCTCACTGCTGTTTTCACATACAATCTTGGTAACAAATACCGTACAGTAGTTGGCTCATGCTGAAAGCTTCACACTAAAGGGGAATCAATATATGAACCATATTTTAATTTTAGTTAGATTGTAAGTGCTGCACTCCTTGAATATGTATTAAAAGTTGTGGTTACATGCATGTTTGAAGACTACTGTACCAGCTTCTCATTTATACATTAAAGTGGCAGACAGAAATCTGCAGTAAAAAATTAAGTCTATTCTATGTGGCCTACCAACTGATGGACTCACGCTCATTGGCCATTTCCTCGCAACATTCCTCAAACTTTTTAATTTCCTTGAAGATTTGCAGTGATCTGTTTTGCTTCCTTGTGATACCTATATATGAATGACTAAGCATGTTGTATATGTATATTACAGAAGGTGGAGTGCCCATTGCTAGTAGCAGTAACCAACAAGGTGTAAGTAAGCTCAGTACAAGCAGTAGCAGCAGTAGGTCTTCCAACCATATGTTTGACTTATCTAGCTATGAGGATATCCAAGAAGAAGAAGAAGTGGAAGATGATATTGCCACAGTTTTGGGAGAACAGTCTATTCCAAGGGAGGATATTGATAAAAGGATGCTTATCAGCAAAGGTAGGAATCATAATGGAATCATATATGCACGTTGCTTTAAATTCTCTATTAAAATTCATCATAACTGCCTTATATCTACAAAGTTGTAAATTATTTCATAATTTCATCATCATCATCACTGCCTTGCAGTAATTTTCTACATTTGTTTAGTTTAACTGTGATTATTTAGTGGCAGCTCTCCATGCTGTGGGATCTCTTACAGCCTTTCTCATTAGGTTCTTGTTCCCATGTCATTCTTGGCTTACCCCCAGCTCTTCTTCCTATCACATTCAAACTCGTGCATCTCGTGACTATAAAAAAAAATAATTCATTCTACTACACAAAACCTCACCAATATTCTTAATACCCAGTCACCCTCTTAACTTTGAATAAGGTTTCCTATCTTTCAGTATCATATTAAACATGCCAGGCAAGGAAACTACTGTACTTTGTATTTGTAGACATAGAGAAGGCATTTGGCAGGGTACCATGTGTAGTACAGTGGCCAATGAGAAAGTTTGGGGTTGAGAAGTGTCTTCAACTGGTTATGGCATCATATGAGAACTCAAAAACTGCTATGAGAGTAAATGACCTGTGCCCGGATGGGCTATTCCCCGTTAAAAAAAAAATAGTAGTGGTTCACGAAGGTTTTGAGCTGCCTTTTATTTATGATGGTGCTGGGGACACTATCGTGGGATTTTAGGACTGGTTGGCCCTGGGAGTTATTGTGAACTGATGACATAGTGCTTGATAGTTGATAGTACATAAAGAGGTGGAAGGATGGAATAGAGATCAAAGGGTATGAACGTGTGGTGAAAAAAGTACTGATTATTGGTGTTGGTGAGAAACCCATGGGGAAAGTGAAAAATGGCCATGTGCCATCTATAAGAAAAGTGTTTGCTGCAAGAATTTAGAAATTGGGTCATGATAGAGAAAATAATGCATATTATCATCTGGCTTATAAAATTTTTATTTATTTTTACTTTTTATAGAAATTATGGAGTACATTACTGGAGCAAAATAAGGTGGTTCCTTTGATTCAAATCTGCCCATTAAAAGTTCCTCTGAACAGAAGCAGCTTTGAGCAATAATTACAGTACTACAGTCTAATGGTTTGGTTATTTACATTTGTTCCAAGAAGTTCTCCTTCCTGGTTCTGCTTGATCTTTCTGTTGCTTATGACATTTGATTATCAGTTGTGCCTTGAGGATGATAATCATTACTGTAGAAGGTATCAATCAATCAAAGTATACTGTCCTCATATCTGAGGGTTAGCAACCACAGTCCTCCACTCTAAAAAGTTTTTGGCTAATTTTACCAATCCTCCGTGATTTTGCATGCCTCTGGGGACCCAGTTATTAATGCTTAATTAGTACCATACATCAAAGATAGTAGAGGCATATAGTGAATAATGTCTTTCATCCATTGCTTGAGGTTAGGCAGTGCACTAATCATTTTGCTCTTTTCCAAAATCAATCTTGCTTCCTTATTGTTTTAATACATACTGTACAGTCAACCCTCACTTTACGCGGTCCCACATTCCGCGTTTCCTCGTTTACGCGGTACCCTGCCAGAACCCGGGATGCTCACATTCCGTGGTGCGTGTACCCCGGGTGAGTGTATAATTTTTTTATTTAGCTCATAAAATTCATACAAATTATCCAGCCAGAATATAATTTACATTGCTGGAATTCTTACAATTTGATGATCATTTTGAATATAAGCATCATAGATTTTGCATTAGACATACAAATTTAGATCTAATGCAAGTATTTTGTTTACTCAGAGCAAATATGCTATCTTTTGTGCATAATATATGAAGTGTATATTCAAAATACTCCTGGTCTTGCAAGGAATCCAGCAATGTCAATTATATTATGCTAACTTTAGTCTGAGGTATTATTTATTACTAAAAGTTAAAATCTAGTTTTTTCACCTAACATTTCTCTGGTAGGGAGGGAAGGTGGGGGGTGGGGGGGAGGGTTGGGACCGACCGACCATCTGGTGCGGTTGGAAGAGGAGGGGAGGCAAGGTGGGGTACTTTGATTGACAGATAGTGTCGTGAAGAATATTTTTTTTTTATTAACTAAAGATATTTGTTTTAGCTCATAAAATTCATACAAATTACCTGGCCAGAATATAATTTACATTGCTGGAATTCTTACAATTTGATGATCATTTTGAATATAAACATCATAGATTTTGCATTAGACATACAAATTTTACATCTAGGTACTGTAAGTATTTTGTTTACTCTGAGTAAATATGTTATCTTTTGTGCAAAATATATGACATTTATATTCAAAATATTCCTGGTCTTACAAGGAATCCAGCAATGTCAATTATATTATCCTAACTTTAGTTTGAGGTATTATTTATTACTATACCTTAAAATCTAGTGGTTTTCCCCCAAAAATTTCTGAGAGAGGGAAGAGCCAGCGAGTGTAGTGTGAGAAGAGGGGGAGGGAGTTGAGTCCATTATTTGAATGGACATTAATTTGGCGACTGTATTTCTCTATTTCTCTTAAGTATTAATTGTGTGCATGTACCATCATAAAATTAAGATGTTATTTTTACTAGAACATAGGTATTGTGTTGGAAAAAGTGGAGTTTGGGGGTCAGCCGGTCTCTATTTCATTTAATCCCATATGTTATGTTGTTCACTGTACTCGTTTCTCGCTTTACGCGGGCCTCCGTGGGTTCAATTGACCGCGTAAAGTGAGGGTTCACTGTATATCATTATGAAGTACGGTACTGCATATTATACTCGTTATTTATATTGTAATTTTTTTTTACGTCCTCAAAAATTTTTAATGTTTAGTTGAAAATATCCCCTAAAGCATTTTGGCCACCACCATGTAAGAAGTTTTGACAAAATATCAATTGATGAAATATGTCATTAAAAGGTATTAAGTTAAGAAGATTAATTTCCTCCCATTTTGGGGGAACTTTATAGTTTAAATAAATTCCTGTTAATGCTTTTAGTACACTACTGTACCATATACTGTATATCTATATCTTAATTTTTTGCCTTTTCTGTATTAAGCAGTTATTGAAATAATGCACAATACAGACATCCCTTGCTATCTGAATGAGTTAGGTCCATGAAAACCAATCGGACATTGAGTTTGGGATAGTAACTGACATAATAAGTAAGGAAAAATGAGGTTTGGTTCCCCAATGACAAGAAAACCCCAATATTGTCTTTAAAAAATGAAATCGGTTCATGAATAACAAAAACTAAATATTATACCTAAATTAATGAATTCTTACCATAAACAACAAAATCCACAATATTTTGTTACGGTACCTAACAAATTGCTAAACCAAATTAAATACTGTACTGTATACAGATGGTGCATTACTTTATGTGAGGGCAGTGAGGGCTCACCACAGTGAATTACACTTTTGGATAATGAAAAAGAGTTCCAAGAATTGAATTTTTGGAGAAATTAATTTTCATATGGTGAACATTTGTATGGCAAGGGATACCTGTACACTAAAATATACATGTAGTATGAAGTTACTGTATATATTGTTTTTCCTTATTTATAGTGTGCCGTTTGTCTGGACTGGTGCAACAGTTTTGTGGTGTCTCCCACTGTCTGGTTCATGCCTTGCTGTCTGGCCGCACAGTTTTATTGGCAGCTGCAGACACTTATCGTCCAACAGTTAAACTCTACGTTCGGGCTCTTGCCACACTTCTCCCTCGCTCACCTTCAAAGCAATTACCAGTGCTCAGGTAAAATTCTTTGTCAGTTTTTTTATTTAATATTTCCATCTATAAATCAGATGGCATTAGAATTTGGGTTTTGAAAATTTTTATCTTGTAAATCTCTAGGTGACCACTTTTCTAAAATATGATATAAAGCAAGTCAAAAGCCTTAAAGGTATATAGTAAAAGCTCATCCTACAAGGTATAAACACAGTAGAACCATATGAAATACTGTATTTTACGTCATATATGACACACTTTTTACTGAAAAATGGCCAAAAAAAAAAAAAATCAGCCTGCATATGTGAAGTTGTGGTCTCCCACAAGCTAATGAATCCCTCATTGCTGTCTCCAGTAGGCTAAATTCTACCTAACCCAACTCCAGAAATACAAATATGTTATTGCTTACTTAAACTTTATTACTTGTATTAGTTTTAATTAATTAAAAAATAATTATTGTAAATATAAAAGTTCAATCTATAACTTCTCTGTACTGTACTGATGATGATAACCTGAGATGATTAACGTCCGTACGGCAGACACCCAACTCTTCAGAGGCAGCTAAGCAGTAACCATTTCTGAACTCTTACAAACATTACAATCTATTAATGCCGTACTGAAACATTTATTTTTAAATCTACAAATACCTGATAAAAAAAGATCAATAGAAAACTTTCTTTTCACATTTACATCTGTTAACATAGCTAGTGGCATTGTAGCCAGGTTAGACCCGTCTGTGTAACCACCAGGCTACTGTGCCAAGCTGTTACTTTTATTAATGAAGCACGGACTTGAGGGTAGACTCACATTTTTTATAAATTTGTTTCTGATTATTTGAGAGGATTTTTCCAATTATTATTTATTTGTATGTGTTTTGTGTGTGTGTGTACACATACACACACACATTTACAATACCATGTAAAGGAAATTACTGTTTCTAGAACAAATGGCTCCTTGTCCCAGCTGCAAAAATGCCAGCAACTTTAAAACTACTCACAGAAATTCTTGGGTGCATCCAGGGTGTTATCCGTGAATAATAGAGAACCGCGAAATAAAAATCCGTGAATTTGGGGGGGCCCCCTGTATTGAATGTATTTTTGATCAGAGATGTACAGTATAATACAAAATTTCAACACTGCCATAAAACTAATAAAAAGGTAAAATGATAAAAGGAAAATAAATTTTTGTTGAATGAAATACGAAGGATAGATGTGTATTACTGTGATTATTGATAAGATAAAGAAAAGCAAAATAGAGATTTTAAAATTTGTAAAGATGAGATGCCAGAAGAGAGATAAGTGGGCTTTTGAATGCAATGAGGTGTTACAGTGTTAAGGAGGAGGACGTGAAATATGCTGGAAGAACGAAGTACAATAATGGAGGTGCTAAAAAAGTTAGCAAAACTTAATTTACAAACATATGCTAGACAGCTGTTTGGAAAATTTGCTGAATAAAATACCTAAGTGGAACACTACTGTACTTCATGAAGGGTTAATTGAGATAGGCTTTAACCCACTGGGTGATAAGTGTTTTTCTCAGCTGTTACTAGCCAGAACAAAATACCTGAGTGTAACAATACAGACAGTATTTCACATATTACAGATGGCACACAGGCACTGTTACGGACCATCACCTGAAGCAGTTTCGTATAATGGGTGTGTGTATTCCAGAACGTCTTCATGTTCAAGACCTTATGTCCAATTCTACTTTGGTGAGTTATTTTATCTTTTAAGTGCTGTCAGAAATATGATAATAGTGGAGTGCTGTTTAGTTTATAATAGGCAAATTAACATTGTCAACCATTTAACATTCAAGAAAAATGTTTCTACTCATTGTTGTTAATATGCTCTGTCACAATTCTGGAAGAAGCATAGCATTACCTTTACTCATCTGTTGATCTTAAATCTACATCAAGTACTGTAGCCTACTATATTCACATGCATATACACCCTGATGGGTAACTTCACCTCAAAAGTAGGTTTCTGTTGTTTATCCTTTGCACATTTTGACCTTTTATATTTTTGGTTAAGCCTTGTTTCGCTCATTATTCATGGATAATATTTGTGGTCACTGTACAGTGAAGGCATTCATAATGATGTACAATGTCTGTCACTGTCACACACCCTAGCAACACTATCAACATTAATGTTGTGTTTGCCAAGACCCAGTTTTGTCTTAAGCAAACCATGCAAACAGGAGTTCAAAATGACCAGCAAATGATAGTTATAGATTTTGTTCTGTCATTTTTCAATACTGTATTTTTCTGGAAATTGTTGTTATTAACTTGATGCTGAAATACAGTTTAATTTTTGGTTTTATTTGATGTCATGTTTACCAATGTAACTAGAGGACTTACTGTATTTGTGACCAGTCATAACATGTCAATGAATCAGTTGCTGAACATGAGACTAAATATTTCATTTTAGGTAATTGTTTTAATTTTCAGAATCAAGTGACTGTACTGAACATTGAAACTGGCCACATCTCTGGAGTGGCTTATGGTGGTACACTTGTTCGGGGCATAGAGCAATATGGCCGTAAGCTTTTTCACTCCACCTCAGCACTGCAAGCCTCTCTACAGTCCATACTAGTTTCCTTAGGTCTTAAGATATACCTCTTGTATCATCTTCTGGAAACAACAAGTCGTAATGCTAATGATATTTTAAAAGCCATAGGAGTTTCTAAAGGTGACTGGGATATTGTCATAAACTTAACTAGAATGATACAAAGACAAATACAAAGCCAGTAAATAATTATGGATCAAAGTATGCATTAAGAATTATGAATATTTAGGTTTCATTGTATTGTACTACATACAGTTTATGACAAATTAGAAGATAATCAGTGACTGTAATAACTGTTCATAAATTAAAATCTAGAAATACTGTTCATGTTTACATTGCTGAAAAATTCTCTTAGATCATTACACCAGACCAAAGGAATTCAAGGTACTTGGATCTTTAATTCACATTATTGTGGTACAGGTTCCAAAGCCTTGCCAGATTATCCGTTTTGCCGGCCCAACCGAGGTCAGGTAATAATAATTCAACAATACACCTCTGACCCACTAATGATGTGTGTCTCTAAAGCATCATGGACTGCTAGAAACTTAAATTAAACAAATATTAAATGTAAATTAAATGTGATAAAGCCATAATTTTGAGCAACATTACTGTACACACTTTGTACTCAAATGTACTACACTAGACTAAAGAGCTTATCTCTTGTGTAAACTATGTGATGTTTATACTCAAATTAATCACTATCTTACAAGGATTCCAGCAATGCAATTTATATTCTGCTAAGATAAAACCTTAAAAGCCTAAAACTAGCTTCACCCTGGCTGAGAGGGAGGGAGGGAAGTTAAGTCCCCTGTCATAATTTTGTCCGGACTAAAGGAAGTGCCGGACCATCAGTTTCCAGATAATCGGTGGTGTACCTGCATTTATTTACAAAACATTGTTTCCATTGCATTTTCTAAATTTTATTACATACAGTATTTTGAATGCCTCAATTACGAGGAGTCGGTAAATAATAAAATATCACAAACAAGTACATACTGTATTTTAAATTTTTCTTGTGTTTAACATCTTTCGGTGGTCAAACCTACATATGCGGGTCTGAAAGGGAAATGTTAAAATATATTTTTGTAAGATAATAATTTATATAAAAAGATTATAATAGCAATAATCATTTTAGATACCTTAAGTAACTTGAATACTGTTTAAATGTGTAAATAGTTGAGTCTTTTTTTATGACATATGATTATGTTTATACCAGTAACAGTATTTATCAGTTGTCTTTAAAAATGGATTTAGATGTGTAGTACAGTCTTCCCTCTCCAACTGCAGGGGTTAGGGTCCTGATAAACCATGGTTAGAAATGGCTTGGTTACCAGACCCTAAGAGAGGCATGCCCCAAGTCCTACAATACAGTACAGTAAAATATATGAAAGCAATATTTTAAAAATGTGTTTTACTTTCCTATTAACTGTAACATTAAAACTTAAAATTGTCACAGTTTTCACTGATGCTGGTTACCTGGCCTCAATACTCACCTTAGCATTATAGCCCAGATGGGACACTGCCACATACCTTCACGATGAAAACTTATAAATACTTAAAATTTTAAAATATGGTAGATTAATATGGTGACAATACAAAAACCTGTAGTGGATACTTAAAACTGTGGTTGGGGAAGAATGGCTGTACTTTCTATAACATGGCACGTAGAAACCTTGTACAGGTGCTTCTCTGCTTACGAACGAGTTACGTTCCTGAGGCTTGTTTGTAAGTCCAACTTTACTCTTGTAGATACCAAACATATTGTAAAAAATTTAAAGATTATGGGTATTTAGTACAGCTATACCCTTTAATATAGCCTTAAAACATGGCTCACTCTTCTCCTCTTGGGTAATGTTTGTTCGGTCTGGAATTTCTTCAAAATAATCCAGTCTCATCCACATTAAACACCTGTTCTGGCAGGTAACCCCCCTCAGTGATGATGTTTGTTTCTCTGAAAGGTTGTGAGTTGAACGTTCTTAAGTAGAGGAGCACCTGTATACTGATTATACTACGCCAGTTCATCAGTGTTTATTTGCTCAAGAATATACAGTACAGTATTTTCCTTTGATACTATTTCATTTACAAATATTCAAATATAAAAATCATGATCATTTGTTGATTTAATATCCATTATTGGGAATTCTGTTTTTCAATGGTGTTATATGAATAGATATTTGAGGAATTATGATCAATAAAATTGACTGAGGGAGATGCACAAGTTGAAACTGAATAGTGTAAGGAAGAAAAGATTGATGTACTCTTCTTAAAGGCATGGTGAGTGGGAAAAATGTATGTGGAATGTGTAAGGTGTCCTGGATTAATTATAGCACAGGACAGCCTAGAACAATGTAAATTCGACAATGACTGTACTATCTATAAGGGAACACTTCAATCCAAGTACAGTACCCGGTACAATAAATTCTTGTATTATTCAAACTTTAAAGGACAGGTACTTGTTAAAGAATATAAAAGGTTTATCTAATTTTATAAATCAGAAAATTTATTTACGGTATATAAAATACTGTACAGTACACCATAAGGTATCCCTTGCTAACCATGGGCTTACCAACAACAGCAGTTTTGAGTATCATCATTATTTTATGGTAATTTTTCACACACTATGTACTCTGGTATACCAACCACAAGAGCCATTGTAGAAGATTCATAGCCTAGCACATTGGGAATGTCCATTGGATGAGGACTTTCAAGTGGCTGCTCATATTCAGTCCAACATGTACAGACAGTACCCTTAAACAGCTATAAACTTCATATTACAATACAATACTGTATTCAGTAAACTGCTGATATCGCAATTACAGGTTTTCACGTTTGCACCTCAATGGCCTGACATCGCACCCACAATGCACAACAAGCTAGGCAGACACTCAAAGAGACATTACTTGTTGATGCTGCTTCCTAACGAATAAATATTAATTTTTTGTAAGGAATGCATTTATAAACACACTTATATTTTAGTAAGTACAATACAGTAAACCCTCTCAACAAGCCCTGTCTGTTATTGGGAAGGTTTGCTTTTCCCTCCATCAAAATGCATATCTTGTATGGTAGTGAATATTGTTATGTACTGTATGTACCCAAAAGAAATTAAACTTTGTTTAATTATATCCTCTAAGCATATTTAAAAAAAATCTTCTTCAAAATAACATTGCTTTGAAAAGCTCAAAATTTGCACACCAATATCACTACAGGGTAATTTAATTATAAAGTACACTAATACCCAGGTTAGCACTACTTTGTATAGCGCCGTTTCGTTACAGTATCACGCCCAGTGGCAGCTTGTGATAAAATGCACGAGGAGTGAAACTATTGAAAATTTATCCCCCCCCCTCCCCCAAAAAAAAACCCAGTATATATACTGTACTGTATATATATATTATTTACCTTAGGGTCCAGTCTGTGAGTTGAAGTTCATGGCATGAATACTCTGAGGCCCAACTGGGCATTACTTGAAAATAAACTCTTTGATAAAGCAAAGTGATTAGTTACTTTTCCATTAAAGTCCTTATTTCAGTTATCATTTTATTTTCAATGCATATCATTGTTAAAGCAGATAATATCTCATTCACCATAGTATTCTGCAAGTGTTTTTATTCTTTTCAAGGTTGAAAAAGCACCTTTCTGCATCAGCCATTGTCATTTCAGATCATAATACATATCATATTTTTCATTTTTTATTATTTCAGACAAGCATGGCTCAAGGCCTGTCTATTGTTAAGTCAAGGCACTGCTATTATGTCCCTCCACCGCATGTATCAGACAGCTCACTGGACTGCACAGATTGCAGCCCAAATTTCAGTGTAGCACGGGTGCTGTGATTGTCAACTAAGTTTAGGTGCATTATTCTTATGAAAATAAGTGGCAGTTTTGTAGGAGGGCTGCAGCCCTTATTGACAAGCCGCCACTGATAGTGCTCTTACTTGTATCTTGGAGCTCTAGGGGAAAAAACCCATAAAATTAATAAAAAGTCACAAGTCCAAACACTCACAACATGCAAAGAGAAGCTCGCTTTGTTTTTACGCACTCTGTTTACAGTACAGTACAATACAAATTTGCTGCGCTTAAACTGTGGACACAATTTTGTTGACGAACCAATTATTTTATATTAGTGACTTTTCTTTACTCATCATGTCTAGAAAACATCCTGCAAGTATTAATGATGGCTGTGTGTCTAAAGTGCCACGGAAAAATATCTCCTTGGATGTAAAATTACAAGTGTTGAGAAGGTTGGAAGCTGGTGAGCATCAGATGAATGTTGATGCTGCTTTCACCTTGACTACATCAACTGTTAGAACCATTATTAACACTCGGGATCCTACACTCTTAAGTGGCATTTTGATTTGATGTACAGTACTGTAGATGAAACTTTTGCCTCACGATCAAACACACCAGTATGGCATTTTTTTCATTTTCTCTAGAAGTTTCTGGTCGAGTTACTTCAAATTTTAATGCACTTTTGTCACGCCACTCTCTTGCATGGAACCAAGTCTTAAGGCGAGGTGGTAACCCCTCTATGTGTGGTGGACCACGTGGTACCAGACAACAAATGCCAGTAATGCTTCTGCCTTAGTCAACAGTGAGTGTGTCGGTCCAAGATGCGATATACAAGTGGTTTCTGTGAAGACGTGCTGTGGCCACCAAGTTGACCAGATCATATAAGAATTTGTCCCAAACACAATATCTGAGACATAAACAAAATAAAAGTCACACGATTTCCTCACTGTGCCTAGATGTATAAATACCGTATATAAAATCCTCATGGCACTTAGTATTTCAGCTAGGGTATTACAACACAAATTAGCGGAGCCTTCTTTGTGTGTATTTACAGTTGATTCGCCAGGCAAGATGATGACGGTGGCAGTGCGTGTGATGGAGGGTGCAGGAGGGGGTTTTGAGAATTGCAATTAAATGCCAGGTAGCGACGTGTTCTCCTAATATTACTTATTAAGTAATTATTAGATGTTTTAATTGCCTGTATGTTGGCCTGGTGAGTTATTGCCAGGCGTCGCATTCTGGATTGAAAAAAAAAATACTTTCAGAAATTTTTAACAAAACTAGCAAGGAGGAAAATGTGTATAAACATTTTGGTGACTGTGTGCCTAACCACCACTTATTACGTTTTATACAGTAACGGTTTCTTTTTATTATCTTTTTTCTAAATACACTGTAGTGGACGTCTCCCCTACAAACTGCGTAGCCACGCCACCACCTGTTACCGTCTTCCCTAGCAACCAAGCGTATCCGCATTCCAATGCCCGCCGTATCCTAGCAACCGAGCCAAAAGGCCGGCGACTTCTCGGGTTTTCCCAACATGACTCATAGCTGCTGCTGGGTATATAAGCTCTGTCTCTCCATTGAGATTCAGTCTGACCAATCTTCTTGAACAAGCAACACCTCCTCCTCCGCCGCTGCCTGGCTGCCCCTAGCATCTCCTCGCCTGTCTGGCGGTCCTCGCTCCCGCCAGCGAGCATGGCGACCCACCAGCTGTCCTCTGAGCCTCCTCACCAACCAACTCTC